CCATTGCTTGTTGTAGAAGTCATGGATTTTCTGGCCGGTCCAGACCTTTTTGTGAAAGATGTCCGTGGGTGGTGGAGCTTGTTGGGGGTCAGGTAGGGGCAAGTTCCCATCATGAAACTGGCGAGCCTTGAAAAGTGACATGGCCAGTAAGAGATAGTACGGGTCTAGTTCGCATTGAATCGCTATGGCGAAAGTTCTTGATGCTTTCCCGCCTATCCAGCGTGCAAGTGATTCGCGATACGTATGGTTGAACTTCTTCTGGACTTCTCGGTCTGGCAAATCCTCGATCTTTCGCAGCTCCGATACGATCCTCTCTTTCGTGACCAGCTGTGTAAAACATGTCTGCGGAAGATAGTCTCTGGGTGGGTCGTGGAAATTGCTGGCCTCGAAGGCGTCTATCAAACTGCTTGCAAGGGACTGTTCGTCGACCACATCATCTAGACCATCCAGCTCCTGCATTATATCGGCGATATCCCATCTCGAGTCCGTCATGACGCCAAGCTATAATCCCTCGCAGACGGTTTGACTGGTGAGCTAGCGAATTGTGGGACCAACAAAGTGACATTGGTAGTCTGTCGCTATGTTCAGGTCAAGCGATGGGCGAAAGTTGATACTGATCGCTAGTTAGTCTCAGCCTTGCGACTGCCGTATGATAGTGCAATGAGAAGACAGCGGGCCCCGAATGTTCGGAAGCAACCTTCCCATTTATGGCTACTTTTGCCGTGCCGTGGAACGGCAGAGCCGCATAGTTGCTTTTTCTCCAATGCAGACATAGATACGTAGATTCAACGAATAGCACCAGGCCACGTCTGCCGCCCCTGGTTGTTAACCATCAGCCCGAGGCGGGAGGTATGGCGATCCGCTCCCGATGCGTGCGAATGCGCCTGACCCCGCCCCCAGCTGAACTGTAGATGAACTGAAGCTGAACTGCGCGCTGACCCCACCTGTTCTTGGAGCGCATGTACCTATCAAATCCCTTGCGATCAGCTATTGGTGGCACCAATGAGACCTATACAGCTACCCCAGGGTACCTCCTGAGCGGGCGCACGGCACGCGCATGTGTGGAGGACCAGATGCAGGTGAGCGCAAGTGACGGTAGAAAAGGCTAACAACCTTGTCGTTCGCGCAATATTACACGCTTGCCGTGCTGCTGAGTAACAACTACAAGGATTCGTGTGGCACGCAGCATGATGCAGTCAAGCGAACCACAGACGTTTCGTGCATGGTAGAATGGTTTCCACAGCCCTCGTCGATACATTAAAGGAAAAGACCCACCCGTACACTGACTACCAATCCTCAGGACCGGCTACTATTGGCGCTCCGCAGCCGTCGAGCTTTGTGTCGCTCTCTCATCTCATGTAGGAATCTGCGCTGCGGCGCCAGTGGAACATGCTTCAGAGGAAGATTCTTCTCAATGATACGCTCAGCATGCCGCGACATCTTCAGCCTGAATGACTGTGGCATCGGCTCCCTCTTGATACACCATGGCTTCAATTCGCTAACGTAGCCCTCCTTGAGGGAGCAGTCGGCATGCATATGTTTGAGCCGTCTCCAAATGTCCGCACAGGATGCTCGTTCAGCGGAGTCGACTACGAGCATTTTGTGTTGGATCATGTCCAGAAATTCGTGTAAATAGTCCGTGCATTTTTCATGCTCATGGAGTTCGTCTATAAACTGTCGACGTGAGATTAGCTATCGAAACAGCGGTAGAAGAGACAATCGGCATACCAATGTGACAGCTTTCTTGATCATGACTTCCGGTTGGCCAGTTTCTTGATCTCTCACTACTTGGAAGAATGTATCCGACTTGTGATTGTTTTGAAACATGTCCGGAGTACTCCGTTTCTGAGAGAAACTTAGTAGTAGCGACTTTCCACCAAGTACCCATGTTACAAATTCGAGGTACACACAGCCTAGACACCAGATGTCATATGACTGGCGAACGATTTTGGGCTGAAGATCGCATTCAGGCGGACGATAGGTCAAGGTGTTAGCAACATCACGAGGTTGCGTCCGACTCAGCAGGGTGTTGAGTTCTGCCTGCCCAAAGTCGGCTAACTTCATGGTGCCCTTCAGATCCGCGTTCTCAACGTCACAGTCATCGTACCAGAGTATGTTACCAGGATTGATATCTCCATGACGGCCAAATTTCTTCTCGTGCATTTGCTGACGAGGGAAGTGCGACGTCTTATCAAAATCGACTTGCTTCCGGGCATGCTTCACGGCTCCAACACTACCAGTGTTGCTTTCCAGGGGCCGAACTCCTAGATCCGCGTGTTCCAGTAACATAGGTTGCCTACTGTTGAGCTGCTCGCCGTCACTGGGCTGTATCGACCGCCACAATGGTCGATCAGACACAACAGGGCTGGCTGGCCGTTCAAAAGAGTCAGAAGACTGCACTCTATCCAGATAAGGGTCCATCGTGTAATCATCAGCATCTGGTCCGGCGGTTTGCTGATTGATGTTCTCTACGTCGAATTAGCAAGGTTCCAAAACAAAACAGATGGCTAGCATCATGTGCGCTAAACACAGTGTTTTCAATACACACCTGATCGAGGATGCAGTGCTTTCCGCGTTCCATCAGCCAGATACTCGGAAGTCAAATGCCTATGAAGTCGCAGAAGAGCCTCGGCAATACCCGCACATTGTTCAGCTACCCAAGTGATGCTGCATGAACTCAGAACAGGTCGCGCATGAAGATCCTTCCAGTAAGTAAAAAGATCGCCTTCTGCGCGATAGAACACGAGGTGGAATTTCCGAAACTGCTCGTAAGTAGCCAACAAGGACACAATGTGTCTGTGGGATCTTTCGCCACTGAAGGACTTCAGAATGATGATTTCCTTCTTGAATGCATCACGGTCCATCTCATGCAGTTGTTGCTTGATAGCGAAACCTCTGTGAGATAGCCTCTCATCCCGGAAGTTGTGGTGATCGCCGTGTATACGGACCATGAAAACTTTGCCGAAGCCCCCTGTCCTATCCGCATCTTCATCTTCGGTATTGTGTGGTGGGATGAAGGGCAAGATATGCTGGTTATCTAGCACGTAGTGCTTGACATCTCCATCATCATCTCGGGCGAAAAAGGGTGCTAAGAAATCCCATTGGAATTGTTCGAAGTTACGAACCTTGATGGAGGACCAATCATCGTGCTGGAAGCACTCGAGAGGAGTGTTTATTGGCTTTCCTGATGTATCCCTGCGACAAAATCCTTTCTTTCCCTTCGATGTCTTGGTTGAAATCAGAGGGAGATCGAGATCGCTTACGTCTTCATCAAGGAACAGTGAGATTGACGATGTGTACTCGGCGATGACAAGTAAAGCAAAGATCTTTCGAAAAGTTTTGATCTTCTCCTTTCCTCTGTGTAAGACACGTGTCTCGCTACAGACGCGTTGAGCGAGTAGTCGAATGCGTTCGTGAGTGTGTATGCGTGAGAGGTCTTTTTTCAGAACTTGCGCGACTGTTTCTGTATTGATGAGGCGATAAAGCTCACCTTTCGGGAGAAACTCTTGGTCATGGCCATTGGGGTTCCACGTCCGTTGTAGAGCCTCAAATAGTCTGCTTTGTAATTCTTGGCAACCCTCGGCGACGCGAAGTGAGGCAAACGATTGCTCGAGATCGTGCTCCTCACTAGTGTCTAGTTCGTCTGTATGATTTTGGTGCAGTAGTTGTTGTTGGTTACCAGCATCGGAGATGACATCGGAATCAGCAGGGTAATGGCGACAATTCGGAACTCCGAGGAATGACGCGTCGCCGAGCGTGGATGTATAAGGTCGCCGCGCTTCGACTGTAGTTTCTTGTGCAGAGTCATCTGATGAGAAATTGGTCAACTAGATAGTAAGGTTAATTACAAGATGCAGCGAGTACTAGAGTGCGCTCACACTCACAGTAAATTTGTCCTCCTCATATTCTGTCTCATCGAAATCGGAAGGTTCATCAGCGCCTGATGTAGTCCATTCACCAATCAAGGAGGGAGTTGGACTCGTGCGCAATCGAGAGCGAGTTCGCCACTGGGTTGGAGTGCTCCAGTCACGCGAGCCTGCACTTTCTCTAGCTTCTTGATTGGGAGACAAAGGTCTAGATCCTGAATCGGGTGGTGTGAGTCGATACAGCTCGGAGTCATTGTCGCCTTCGCTCGATGCCGATGACTTGTGGAAGGAGTCACGCCGGCGGTGAGGCGTGCTTGGAACCTTCAAGTGGTTGCCAGTTCCGATTTCGCCACAGCTGTAACAGGGCTGCAATTTCGCAATCGTCGATTTGGTTCCAACGACAACTGGTGTCTCGTCTAAGCTGTATGACCGAAGACGTGTACATCTCGACGTGACGTTCTCGTGTGTCGTGTCCGCTAACGCCCCATTCGGAGCGATAGTGTCTGGAAGCACTGGGCCCGATTCGACTGACGCAGCCACGTGAAACTGGGGCGTGGCATTGCTCAACTTTGCTTGGCCATCGTCGGCTGAGCTGTTGACCGGGTCATTGCGCAAGTGAAGATGCGGGGCTGATGCCTCCGAAACATGCATGACTGTTTCTTAGACGATATCCAGTACAACAAAGAGATGGCCCCAGTGTCGAAACAACAATGCGGCGTCTCGCTGTGATATATGTGGCAGCCTCAGTGAAGGACCTGTTGCAGAGGGCTGAGCATCGAGTCCCTCATAACAGCCGCTGTCCTCGACATTATTGCCTGCGGGGCTCAGACATGTGGCTGCAGGTCGCGAAATGTGGCTGCAGGCTGCACAATTTGCCTTCTTTTTACCCTTGCTGCACCACTGGTTGCCTGCAAGTAGCCGGTGAACTCCAAAGGGCAATCGCTCAGTGGCCCTTGTAAGTGGCGCAGCTCCGCCCCCTTAGCTACCTTGATGCACGCGCGCAATCTCAGCCTTCTGTTCCCAGATATAAGTATACCGCCCACAAAGCCATATGTGATGTAATAGGAAAGAAAAAACTACTACTACACATCAGTCTTCTGGGTCCGCCCCTCATCCCGCACAACAACAAGAGCAATGACAAGTTCTGCCATCAATACACTTACCAGTACGGATGTCCTCTCGTTGGCTGAGCAAAGTGATGATGCCCTTGACTTCGACGATGCTCAGTCGATTTCTGGACGAAACATAGACCCGAAGAAGTTGGCGATGCTTCTAAGGGTCAAGTTTGGCGCTGGAGCCTACGATATCCACGTGAGTACATTGCAAACAACGCGAGATAAACCCCATGAATGGGAACACGAGCTGACAGGCATCGCAGATAATGCAGAACTCGTATTGTATCATCGCTCCGCGAAAGTTGTCAACAGTGAGTCGCGTTTCCCTCTCTAGGCATTTCGAAAGCTGACACCATACAGGGAGAGATAGCGAAGTGTCGGAAACGTTAGATCTACGATGAGTAATGTGTGCTCGCCCACCGCTTGCTGATGCATCCTTTCGATGCGAAGCGATGAGGCATCGAGTGTGCGACGAACATGGTGCCCTTGTGGCAAACAAGGTGTAGCGCTATGGTTGCGAAGCCTCAACAGAAGTGTTCAAGGGAGGTGTACAACGAGAAAGAGAAGGATTGAGTGTGCGCCGTCCTGGTCAGCTGATCGCATTTACATAGGTATCGCATAGTGATGGAGTCCGGAGTATTGGGTCATCTAGAACAGAACAAGAACGCATCGGCGAAACTGCGCAGATTTCAAGCGTGTTGACTAAGCAGCTATGACCATGTGCACCGGTGACGTGATGCACAATGATGAACAGGGCCGCTATGTAGGTCCCGGGGTGTATTCACGGGGTATCGTCTCTTACCAGTGCATTGCTTTGCGCGCTCGTTCGGAACGTGAGTTGTTGTTGCAGCCTAAGGCAGTCATCCAAAGTCCATTCATCGAGAGTATGTGGAAAGAGCATATCATGAGCACCGCAAAGTGATGACGCATCATGTCCATATTATCCAACGGTCACCCACGTTGGGATTGTATGGCGATCAACGGCGCTACCTAAATATAATATTGGCTTTCCTTTCGTTAAAGCTGACACCAAACGAACACGAGAACAAGGCTGAGGCGCTGCATGCACCGCCCACTTTATACGGTCAGCTTCTCAAAGACCCTGGCGGGAGTCATCCCCAGATCTGTCCGGCGCTTCGGGTATCGAGTTTGCAACGGCGATGCACAATGAACCTTGGAGGACAACTCCAAGACCTTCAAATTTCCCGTGCCGATCCTATCGAATGATGCGCAAACCAGGCGAAACTGTGATAGGTTTTAAAACTGGCGCCAGGTTGCAAGCGCCGATCTCCCGCGCCAGTGTCTCACATAGCAACGTCTGGCGCGTCGCCATTGGCCGGAGCTTGGATTACGCGGATGTGGCTATGCCGGTTTCACTGCGAAGCTTGATACATCACTCCCCTTTCCTGCTGCGCGCCACCAACACCCACTGCAACCGCACCGCCGACCTACTTTTGCCCAGCGTTCCTTCTCACCACCTGCGCTCCCCATACGTCGTTGGGCGATAGCGATAACGCATTCTCACGACCTCACTTTCGTTTTGCGCTTGGACCCTGGACGCGCAGCAGTCACGCCCCAACCTGGCCTCCTAACACGGCGACTCCTCCGCGGGAACCCGCCAGCACATTTTAACCCTCCGCGATGTGGTTCCGCAAACGTGAAAGCGACATTGAAATGTCGGGCATGATGGACGGAGCACCGAAGAAAAAGAAGTCGCAAGGCCCGCCAGAAGAAACAGAGTACCAGAAGTTTGACTGGAAAAGATTCTTTCTCGCCCCCAAGTACATCCGTAAGACCACGCCGCCGCCCATGCGACCACGGAATATTTTTGGCTGACTCAGCATATAGCATGGCACATATTGTTCATCGTTATCGGTATCTTGACCGTTATCATCACGATAAAACACGACGCCGTCGTTGAGGTGAGTCTTCGGTGTTTTGCCTTGGGGCCGACGAACACGTGGCTAACGGTGTCTGTGCAGAAATTACGGCCGTGGTCCGAGAAAGTGCGAGACCTGCCAGCAGGATGGCTAATTCCCATTGCTATTCTTATCATTATTTCTTTCCCTCCTTTATTCGGCCATGAAATCATTGCGCTGCTGTGTGGTGTCGTCTATGGCCTGTGGATCGGGTTCGCCATTGTTGCAGCAGGCACATTCATTGGCGAAGGTAAGCCTTACCATATCATTACAGCTCCATGCAATGCATACTAACATCCCAATCAGTCGGGACATGGTACGCTTTCAAATACGCCTTCCGCTCCAAGGCTCTCAAACTGGAGCGCACCAATCTAAACTACGGCGCCATGGCCCGTCTAACGCGTGACGGTGGTTTTACCATCGTGCTCGTCATCCGTTTGTCCGCCATTCCAGCGCATTTTTCCACCGCCGTATTCTCTACCTGCGACGTCAAGTTCTGGCATTTCGTCGTCGCTACTTTCCTTTCTCTGCCCAAGCAAATTTTCCTCGTCTACCTCGGTGTACTGCTCCTACAGGAGAGCAACGACGACGTAATCAAGACGGTCATGTTCGGCGCTATCTTTGTCATCACTATTGCCATGGGTATCTGGATCTACATGAAGATGCGCGTGGTGAAGAAGACACTCTTGGAGGAGCAAGAGCTCAGAAGGGTCAAGAAGGCCGAAGCCGTCGAGCTGGTACCAAATGTTGAACGTGCGTTCGATACGCAATACGACGAGGGGCCTCCGATCTGGTCATCTATGCAACCAACGCAAGTCAACCGACCAACAGAGAGGAGATATGACGAGGACCCTCCGGAGTGGGCCATGCAGCCTACGCAACCCACCAGAATGCTCTGAGCGTAATTGCTGATTGTATCATACATAGACTGTTATATTCTTAATGCCATAATGAAGTTATGACCCGCATGGGTTTAGTATGCACAAGACACTCAAGGTCAGATCTGACAGTCACTTTGGCCTGCTAACCCCACTCCTAGGTGGTATATCGAAACCACGGCACGTTATCGGCAAGCTCCCGCTCCAACGACTTCTGCTCCTCGGTCAACTCCTGCGCCCCAGCTTCCAACGCAATCTTATCGCGTCTCGCGTTCTCAATCCGACACCACGTCGACATGAAAAACGTCAGGAAGAACGCCATGCTACCACACGTTAGCTCCGCATCACCGACATCATGCGATCTTACGATAACTCACCTAACGAACCCGATCAAGATGCTATGCCCAACGACAAACCTAGGCCCATCACGCGACAAATAGACATAACTCGCAATGATACCTCCACAATTCCCGCCCATCACCTGCATAGCAATCCCCGTCCCCCTCTTCAAACTCCCCCCAATATTCCCACTGTTCCACGCCATCCCCAGCGGAATCTGCGGATAAATACCAATAGCCGCAAGCACCGTGCCTGCATACTGCACACTGGGCCTCCCCGTCGCAGCAAGCATAGCAAAGCCCGCGATAGCCACGACCTGGAAGCCCATCAAGAAAACACCACGTTTCTTCACGCGATCAGCATACCAGCTTGCAGCAATAGTAAAGAAACACGCGCAGACGTATGGCGGGACGGACATGAGTTGCGCGTCGTTGGCAGTGTAACCCATGTTCTTGATGATCGTCGGGAGGAACAGGGCGAAAGAGTAGATGGGGCAGAAGCCCGCCATGCAGATTAGCATGAAGATGTATATCTTCCAGTCTGTGAGGGCCTGGTAGACGTATTTCATGTCGAAGTCGTTGGAGAGGTGGCCGTGGTCTGCGTGGAGGCGGCGTTGGACTTCTGTGCGTTCTTTGGGGGTGAGGAAGCGGGCGCTGCGTGGGTGTTAGATGGGTTGGAGTGTGGAACGGGGATAGGACTGACGTTTCAGGGTAGTCGTATATACACCAGTATGCTATTGTTGAGACGAGGATGCTGAGGAGGCCTTCTAGGATGAATATCCTTTAGTCGTGTTAGTAGGTAGATTTCTTGGTCTTTTGGTAAAGGATGTTTTACCATGCCCACGCTGCTTTTCCACCAACACCGGACATCTCCGCGATGCCACGGGCTAGAACGCCGCCAAAGGCTCCGGCGAGCGTTGCAGCGGAGAAGAAGAGAGCCATACGGAAGCCGCATTCGTCTCTTACATACCTTTGGCAAGTTAGCATAGGGACAAGACCTCTCTACAAGCTTTCGCGAGTAAAACTCTACCATTGCGAGATATAGTAGTTAACACCCGGGAACAATCCTCCTTCAAACACCCCGAGAAAGACTCGTGTAGCCATCAACCCAGAATAGTTCTTCACAAAGCCTTGCAGTATCATCGCTAGTGACCAGAAGAACATGATGAATGTCAGCCAGATAGACGGCCGGGTCCGTTTCATCATTATGTTCGATGGTATCTCGGCGGCGATGTAGAAGGGGAATAGGACGGCGAGACAATCATTGTACTGTAGGCCATGTAGCTTGAGATCTTGTTCGAGGTGGTCCAGGCGAGCGTTGCCGATGTTGGTGCGGTCTAAGAAGCACAACCTATACAGCGATCAGTTTATGGTACGGGAACGGTCTGTCGGAGAAGGAGCCTACAGGTAAATGAGCGACATGAATGGTATCAGGTGCCAGTCCAGCTTGCGGAGCAGCTTCTTGGTAGCGACTGCATCGAAGCCGTTGGGTTCGACATCTTCGTATGAGGTATCCGATGGTATGGGAGCGACAAAGGAAGCGTCTGTCTTCTTTTCTATCATCTTGTATTGTGTGATAGTTCTAAGAACCGCAGATCATGTAGACGTCTCCCGAGCTGCCCTTCATACATGTACTCTCCACATCTCGTGCTGACCATGACTTCGGCGAAGTAGTAGTGAAGCCTCCTACCGTATTGACGCAGTCAGGACGTTCCAGACCCCAACGCGCTTTCTAAACAGTTTCTTTGTTGTAGTACGCGCCTCATGCGTCTTGCTGTATTCGTCCTCATGCCCCGAGACCGATAGCATCGTGTAACCTTAATGTCCTTCTCAGTGGTCGTGATTAACATATCAAGCGGTGAGATCCAAGAGAATGGTAGCTTGGCTGCAGTAGCTAAGGGCTGTCCCGAAGACTTGTCTCGCCGAGGTTTGATTGTTGATGTGGGCTCTGCGCGATTTCGGACTCGGCTGGCTGGGCAAAGAGGCTTGTGTATGCGGGCTGACATGCATTCAAGAACTTGGCGCATGCGATAAGAAACCCTGAGTCTGGACTTTTTGGAGTTAACTTGGTCGCTTTTAGGCAACTGGGGCAAGGCAATCGGTGGTCGCATGATGATATCTGGGTAGCCTGGCAATGTCGCACTGCTTGCTTGCTTGAGGCCCAGAGGCCGGGCTTCGAGCGATGCCTCATCTTCTTACCCGATATGCTGCGCAGAGGACTTGAATGCTGCCGCCTCACATAAGCGTACAAGCTG